CCAGGAAGAGCACTATTCTGAAATTAAATGAATTAAATTAATGCTGTCACACCCACCTGGGAAATGACTGAGTTCAACGATCAGAGATTTTAGGTATGTCTCTAGACATGTGAAGAAGCTGAAGGAAAGTCTCTCTTCTAAGATGCTGCCTAGTCAGATGAAGGGGGAGGATAATAACCAATGCTAAGTATTGGCTGTTTATCCCAGGCACTGTGTGAAGCACTGAGTGTCTATTTGCTCACAGTCTCATAACAGCTCTATAGCACAGGAGCCATTGTTATTTTGACTTTACCGATGCTGAAACTGAGGCTTAGAGAGATGAATGAATATGCCCAAGGTCACATAGCTAATAAGTGTCAAATCAGGGCTCAAAGACACTCTGCCTGACATCAAAGACCATTCACTTTATCATCGTCATTACAGTACTCTTACATAAACAGGATTTATTTGATATTTGCCTCAAGTATTTTATATTGAGGTCAAAGTCATATTAAGTAACAGAAAGATATGAGTAAAGAGGAATGTTTTGTTATTGGACAATTATTCTGTGCCAGACACATTACCTTCATTATCTTAAATCCCTTCTCCACCCCTCAAGGTGGTATCTAATATCTTTTAATTTGCCAATGAAAGACAAAGGCCCAGAGAGTTTACTTCTCTGCATTTGCCTGGCTTATCCAAGGCAGAACTGAAATCCAAGTCTGGCCTGTCAGGCTGCAGAGCTCACATGTGCTGTACTGCACCTGTGGAAGTATTGAAGTCTCCAAACTGTTTTCAGACAAACGTAACCCAGAGCTAGCACAGGTATCTGTAAGTGAACTTGACCTTGCTCATCTTTAACAGGGAAATCTATTTGATCTCGGTGGGACTCAGTGCAAACTTGTATTCTTTTAATTGTAGTGCAAGAATTTATCTTCTTTATAACTCCAGAATTTTTTATACACATGAGAAATAAGACTGTTTTATAGTGATTACATTTTTGCAACTATCTACCTATTTATTCACTTATTGCCAGAGGGCATGTGTGCTCACCAGAGAGAAAGAGAGTGAAATCACACCCACTGGCGTGTGGTTATATTACAATCCTCTTTCTTCCATTCTTCCTTCCAATCAGGATTTTGGGCATGCACACATATGCACCCTGTGCGTTTTTTCAAGCTGCCGGGACCAGGATTCAAATCACAGTTGACCATGTTGGAATCTGACTCCTTCATGCAGAGTTTAACCATGGTACTATGGTGCTGCCCCTTGGGCCCTATTTCATCCAACATGATTTTTCAGACATGAGGGAGAAGTCACTGCTGGGCAACCAATTGTCCAAGACTGGGAGACAAACCTCTAATATCTAGTTTACCTTCCCAAGGCAGTTGATCAGCTAAGCCCAGCAGCAGGTTACCAACACCATTATTAGCTCCTGAAAGATACCGCTGAAATAAACTTGCCTGAAATGGAAGTGGTAAGGAGCTCAAATATAAAGTACTGATTTTGCACTGCATTTCTTGGAAATCTTAACTCTGATGAACAGACCTCAAAATGCTCCATTCTCGGAGACCAGCAGTTAGCGTAATGGCTATGTCGCTGGATTCCCACATAGTCGACCGCGGTTTGCGTCCTGGACCCGGTGGCTTAAAACTCACACCGGGCACGTGTGCGTGCGTGCGTGCCCAAGATCCCAAGAGGAGAATGGAGGAGAAGGGATTGAGGCGTAGCCATCCCCCCTGGGGGGTGATTTCTCACTTTCTGTCTCTCTGTCTCTCTCTGTCTGTCTGGAGAGCGCACGCACCCTATAGTGAAAAAACTTATCAAAAAAAAAAAAAAAAAAAGGTCCATTCTCCGGTTTACTGTATTTGTCAGGGGTTCTGTTTATTTGGAAAATATTGTGCCTCTATTCTTCTCAGGTGTGGTCTGAGTGGAATGACTACACATTCATTATGGGCTGATCATTCAGGATCAGGAGGCTTATGTCAGAATCGGCTGGAACCCAAAGAACATCATTTCCCCAATGAGGAGTGAAAAACCTTTCCTGGGAATGGATCTCTAAATTAGACAACAGAGCAATCACTTCGGGGGAGATAGTCAAACACACTGGCAATTCCCTTTGGTTGCTCACAGTGGTGTCTTTCTCAGCTCGCATATGTGGAGTGCTGCCAGAGGTAGTCTAGGTTGGCACCAAAAGGTTGTGCAATAACTCACTTAATAGGCAACTTCAGGGGACCAGCAGTTGGCATAATGGCTCTGTCACTGGACTCCCATGTAGTTGACTGTGGTTCGAGTCCTAGACCTGGTGGCTTAAATTCATACTAGGCACATGTGCGTGCATGCCCAAGATCCTGAGGGGAGAATGGAGGAGAAGGGATTGTGGTGTGGCCATCCCCCCCGCCCCCCGGGAGTGATTTCTCACTTTCTGTCTCTCTGTTTCTCTCTGTCTTTCTGGCAAGCGCACGCACCCTATAGCAAAAACCTCTCCAAAGGAAAAAAAGAAAAAGGAAAAAAATAATAGGCGCTTCTGGGCTAGCAGAGCAGCGAGCTCACCAAGTCTTACAGCTCTTGCCTGAGCACCATTGCAGGGTTTTGGAGTCCCAGTGGAACATTCTGGAAACCACAGTAACACAGTTTGTTTTCCATTTTAAAGTTCAAACTGGAAACAAGATGGATGATGTGTCAAGAAGACTGACAGCTGAAGGAAAGGACATAGATGATCTTAAGAAAATCAACAATATGATCGTCAAGCGACTCAACCAGCTGGACTCTGAATAAAACTGAGGAGCTGATTTTCCAAGAGCTACGGCTAACACCAGGAGATTTTCACTTTACTGGGAGTGTACAGAATTAGGAATTGAGGAAGTGGATTTCTGCAGATGATCTGATCAGCGAACCCGACCCTAGGGCCCAATTTCTGCAGCAGGGATGGGGGTAATTCCAAGGCAAACGGATTTGAGAATAGCAGCTGGAAGGGGAGACCTTGTCTCAGCCTCATTTCACTGTGGGGTGCTTCAGCTTTAGTGGGACTGAGAGTGACTATCAGAAGGAGAATCAACAGAAAGCAAGATAATTCATATACATATGCCGGGTTTTCAAAAAGCCCATGAAAATGCAAATTATGAAAAAATATGCATGGATCTTTTTGGGGCACTAAAATAAACTCATACTTTAATTCCATTTCCCCACAATCTTTTTGAAGTCTCCCTGTACAAATTCTGTTACAAAAAGAGCTTTGTCATTAGAACAAGTTCAATGTGCCCATGAAGTTCAGGATGTTTTATGTACCTTTACACTTTCCTATGAAAGTCTAACTAACGAGTTCATTGAACTTCATGTTAAAGGGAACCGGCTCTTTTTTAATCAAAGAGATTCTGCTCAGATGACTAGACTTTGACTCTATTTCCCCATGGCAATGGGATGGGCTTCAGATCTAGCTGCTGTCCAGGTTTTGTTGGTAAAGCCATGAGTAATAATTATGCATATGATGGGAATAGGGGTCCGAAGAGAAAACCTAATTAAGTAACTCAGCTAATGCTAAGCTTCTACTCTAAAAATCACCCTCTTCTAGAGGAGCTTATAGTGGAGTGCAGAACAAAGGAGATTATATATAATTATATGAGATTTGTTTACTTTGTTTCTCAGAAACAAAACAAAACAAAATACCCTTCTGTACCCTGTTGATTAATTTGGAAGAAACCTGGTAGATTTGTGGCCTTTGCTAAAGTGTCTGTGTATTTGGCATCTGCCCTGGTTTAGCACAACAAGTAAGGCACACAGTAAATGATTTAAGATGCAATATGAAATAAATAAGTTTAACAAGCACAGGAGTCTTAGAACATTTTTTAATTTGCATAAATTGTGCAAGTCAATTTAAGAACGTATTATGATTCGTTATTTTGAGTTTCAAAAACATTTGGGTTTACCCAAAAATTAAACACATATATCCACATATTTGATAATAATAAATAGTTAATGAAACGAACACAAGACTTGTACTTACCTATGCTTGCCTAAAACAATAGTTGCACTGAATTTTAAAAAAATATTTTATTTATTATTATTATTTTAATTTACTGTAGAGTATGTGTGCTCACCAGAGAGAGAGAGAGAAAGGAGCAAGCAAGCCATCAGGTCCGGACTCAAATGATGGTTGACCACGTGGGAGTCCAGAACCTAACCACACCACCTGCTGGCCATGTGTACTGTGCATTCATTTTCTTAACATTGGTAGATACCATGCAGAACATTTATAAAATCTGAAATTTCTGTCTATTGGAAAATTTTTATTGACCTGTTCATAGGATATAGCAAATAAACATTTATTATCAGAATTTGTTATAAACTTATTTCGGAAACTACTGAGGAGCTGAAGCATCAACTCTTTAAAAAAAACAAAACAAAACAAAAAACAAACCACATTTCTGGGGCCAGCACATAGAATGGTGGTAAACGCACTGAATCCCACATGACTGGCTGCATGGTTCAAATCCCAGACTTGGTGTCTTGAAAAACACAGTGGACATGTGTGCGTCCATGCCTAAAATCCTGAGAGGAGAATGGAGAAGGGATTGAAGTGTGGCCCTCCTGCCAGGAGAGTGATTTCTTACTTTTCTTATCTCTGTCTCTCTTAGGAGAGTACACTCACCCTCTGACAAATGTCTAAAAATCAAAAACCAAAAATCCTACTTATTTCTTTCATTTTATTCTTTTTATTTTTTTTAAAAGTTTTTGTTTGTTTGTTCATTTGTTTGTTTTTGGCCACAGGGCATGTATCCTTGCCAGAGAGACACATAGAGAGAGGGTAAGTGAGAAATCCGCCCCTAGGGCAGATGGCGATGCAGCCATCCCTTTCCTCCCTTTCCTCCATTCTCCTCTTAGGATTTTGGGCATGCACGCACATGCACCTGGTGTGCTTTTCAAGTTGCTGGGTCTAGGATTTGAACCACTGAGTTGGTTATGTGGGATTTAGTGCCTTAACCACCATGCCACCTACTGGCCTCTACTTGTTTCTTTTTAACAAAGATGTATTTCTTACATGAATGAAAAAGAGAGAGAGAGAGAGAGAGAGAGAGAGAGAGAGAGAGAGAGAGAAAGAACCCCCACAGAATCTTGACACCCTGATCCATCTGCACCTCAGCCAGCCGTAGATCATGGGCATACTTGTGCCTGGTGTACTGAGGAAGATCTCTGGACACGAACCTGGAGCTATCCCATAAGGTTAAGCTTCATAGCCTCTGCGTTTTACCAGTTTGCCAATGTTGATCCCTATCTGTGTTTATTGTGCCTCTCCCTCCCCCAAATCTGTGGTCTTCATCCCAAGATATTTATGATCTTACAACATAAAGCAGGGCCTGACTAATCATTTTATTCATCTTTTTGATCTGCACTGTCCTGCCTATATTGCTCCTACTGAGTCATGATGGCCCTCTGACCCTCACAGACTGGAATAAAGCAGCCACCACAGTTTTTGATTATTTACAATAAAAGTAAACAAGTTTCAGTGAACGGGTTTAAACATTGAGGCTGACTTCATGTAGTCTTACAGCAAAGACAGTGGCGTTTGGGGACCAGCAGGTGGTATGGTGGTAATGGCACTGGACTCCCACATGACCAACCATGGTTTGAGTCCTGGACCTGGTGGCTTGCTTTCTCACTTTCTCTCTCTGATGAGTGCACACACCTTGTAGCAGATTAAAAATAATAATGATAAATAAAATTAAATAAAATAATTCTCAAAAAATCCCCCACACAGCAGTGTTTAACATGGGCTTGGGAATCCAAACTCCTAGTCTTCATCCTAGAGTCACCACTTCTTTTCAGTTGGGAGAAAGTAACATCTTTGATTATTTATTTATTTATTTATTTATTGAGGTTTTTACTATGGGGCACCTGTGCTTACCAGAGAGAGACAGACACAGTGAGAGGGAAAGTGAGAAATCACCCCACAGGAGGGATGGCCACATCACAATCTCTTCTTCATTCTCCCCTCAGAATCTTAGCTAGGCATGCACACATGCCCAGTGTGATTTTTTAAAAATTAAATTAAATTAATTTTTTTATTCATTCATTTTTTATTTTATTTTACTTTATTTATTTTTAATTTGACCAGAGGGAAACACACACACACAGAGGTGAGAAAGCAAGCCACCAGGTCCGGGACTCAAACCGTGGTTGGCCATGTGGGAGTGTCCAGCACCTTAACCACTACACCACCTGCTGGTCCCTTAAATTTTTAATATTACATTTAATCACATATATCTTTACAGTGCATAACATTTCTTTTTTGAGCACAATTACCATGCATATCAGTCAAGACAAAGACATTAGTATACACAGCATCAGCAGCAAATAGCTTTTCATTTTTTTTGTCAGTTAAGCGTACGTTTTTTCCTATTTCTTCCCCTATTCTCCTCCCTTCCTCTATTACCCACCTTTGTATTACCCCTATCCTTACTATCTCTAGTATCTACTGTTGCTGTCCCTGTTACTAGAGTTCCAAACTTTCAGTTTCTGCCAGAGAGTACAGATAATCAGTATATATTAAGTGGGGACATACAAAGTCTGTCTTTCTGTCTTTCATAGTCTGACTTGCTTCACTTAGCATTAAGTCTTCCACATTCATCCACGTTGTATCAGATATCTAGGTTTTATCATTATTATTATTTATGACTGAACAGTATTCCATAGAGTGCATATGCCACATTATTTTCAATCCAGTCATCTATCTTTGGACATTTGGGTTGATTCCATGCTCTAGCAATTGTAAATAATGCTGCAATAAACATGAATGTGCAAGTGTTTTTCCAACCGAGGGTTTTTCTGTCTTTTGGGTAAATACCTAAGAGTGGAGTTACTAGATCGTATGGTAGTTCTATTTGTAGGTTTCTAAGGCATCTCCATAGGGTTCTTCAAAGTGGTTGTACTAATTTACATTCCCAACAAGAGTGTGGGAGAGTTCCCTTTTCACCACAGCCACGCCAGCACTTATGATTATATATTTCCTTAATTTTAGTCATTCTGACTGGGGTTAAGTGGTATCTCATTGTGGTTTTGATTTGCATTTCCTTTAAGACAAGAGATGTTGACCATGTTATCATATGCTTTTGGGCTGTTCATATGTCTTTTTTGGAGAATTGTCTGTTCAGCTCATTTTCCCATCTTTCAATTAAATTGATTTTTTTTAATTGAGCATAAGCTGCTCGAGTTCCATGCATATTCTGGTTATCTGAGGTATAATTTGCAAATATATTCTTCCACTCTGAGGGTTGTCTTCTCACTCTACTTATTGTTTCTTTGGTTATGCAGAAACATCTCAGCTTAATATGTCCCATTTTTCTATCTTTGAGACTATTGCCTGTGCTTTGGAGATTTTTTTTGAAGAAGTCTTTGCCTACTCCAAGGTCTTCAAGAGTTTTTCCTGTGTTTTCCACCAGTAGTTTTATTGTCTGAGGTTTTATGTTTAGGTCCTCAATTCATTTGAGTTAATTTTTGTTAGTGGCGAGAGATAAGGATCTAGTTTCATTCTTCTGCAGGTGGATATCCAGTTCTCCCAGCTGAAGAGATTGGCTGAAGAGATGTTCTTTTTCCCACTGGATTGTCTTCAAGGATCAACTGGCTGTATGTTTTGGGGCTTATTTGGGGGTTCTCAGTTCTGTTCCATTGGTCTACCTGTCTGTTTTTGTGCCAATACCATGCTGTTTCACTTATCAAGGCTTTGTATTATATTTTCCTCCTGCAACTTTTTTTTTTTTTTTTAAATATTATATTACCTAA